TTAAAGAGAGAGAGAGAGAGAGAGAGAGAGAGAGTAAAATAGAATAAAATAAAACCCCAAAATGACTCTTTCTCTACCTCCTATATCACATTACCCACCCCCAAGTCTCCCTAACTTCCTATTTTTTCTTATATGTAAATCTTCTCTCCCATGTCTTTGAAGTCCATACAAATTGGAATCTTTTATAACTCTCTCAATATAACGTGAGTCCCCACAATCTCTTCCATGAGAGTTATCTACTAAACAAGGAATAAACACCTCAACCCAAAAAAACAATTGGAAACTTCTATCCTACGTATAAACTTCAACTAAATATTCCTCATCTCACTAAAAACAATCAAGGCTAACTTATAAAAAAAACTCACGCACCTCCCAATTCCTAAAAGTTAATCCCATAAAAAAAAAATTTAAAATTTGAATTCTCGAAATTTTTTATCTACATCACTTGCCCAGGTCATCCAGCATTGAAAGGCTTCTCAGTTTACTTGACCATGTGTTTTGAGCAGATTTTTTCCCCCGTCTAAACAAATTTAAATGATTTGAGTTGATTTATCCTTTGACAATGTTCAAGTGTGATGGATCACATCTGGAAGTTCGAGCATTGATGTCTTTTGAGTCAGGCAGAATTTTTGTTGAGTGCATTCCGTAGCTAAACAGATGGGGAGAGTTATAACATGATTATAACGTTAATGCTTGCTTGTTTTGGTTTTTGATATATGTTCATTTAATGTTACTCTGTTATTACATCTCTATTTTATGCTTCCCTTTTGTGTAAGCTATGATTGCCAGGTTTATCTTTAATTTCTTCATTATTAATATTTTTATTTTGTTACAGGCTACCTGTGGGCAATGGTATGAACTCATAGGAAACTGGGATCTCTAGGAGGAAGGAAGCCATTCAAGACCATTTGATGCAGGAGAATAAAAAAATTGCAGCATGTTGGGAGTAAATGAAAATCTAAAACAATTAGAGGATCTGATGAAAATTGCTGGATCTTTCTTTGTTGACATTCAGACTTATGTTACCCCACCATGGGCAGCTATAGTTGCTGGAACTTTAGTGCTCGTGACTCTTTCTCTTTCTATGTTTCTAATATTTGAACATCTTTCAGCATACAAGAATCCTGAGGTCCGTTTTAAAATCTTGTGTTTCTGATGTTCAGTTTCAAATTTTAAAATGTAATACAAATAGTTTATTACTTTTATATGTAGTGTGGTGAGATCTCTTTCGATGTTTTGCAGGAGCAAAAATTTCTCATTGGTGTCATTCTAATGGTTCCATGCTATTCAATTGAGTCAGTAAGCTCTTTCTTGCTCAAAATTGTAGGATAGGGAACAACTGTTTGCTCAATAAAGTGGTTTCTTTTTATTAATAAAAGAAGGCAAAGTTTATATAAGGTGTCAACCTTATACTGTTGAAATAAGGTGCACCACAAAAATCCATCTAAAAAGGGTGGTCCAATCCTTCATGTAGCATACTTTATCTGATACCTCCCATTTCCAATTGGTTTGCACATTATCATGATTACTCGTTGTAATTAATCCTCTCTCTTTCTTTTGCAGTTTGTATCGCTAATAAATCCATCAATCAGTGTTGATTGTGAAATTTTAAGAGATTGCTATGAGGCTTTTGCTATGTACTGCTTTGGGAGATACCTGATTGCTTGCTTGGGTATGCCTAACCACGAACCTGTGATATCAAAATCTATTCTTCCAGAGGTTCAGTTTGCCCTTTTTTTTGTTGCCTTTGTTTTTTATTTTTTTGAAGGGGGGGAGACGGGGTGTGGTGGTGGTTTGGAATGTTTACTGTGAGGTTCAGTTTGTCTTTGCTATTTGTTGGTATGGATCTTATTACTTTATAAGGTTCGGTTTGTCTTTTGGAGTAGGATCATGCCCCAATGATCTTCCATGGTATCTAACAATAACTTGTCATATCTATATAACTTGCTTGCATGCTTTTCAATGGAGGTTGTGGTTATTGGTTAATGCATTTCACTTTGTTCTCTATTACAATACATGTATGCTTTGTTTTTATTTACTAAATGTATTCAAGTGCGAGTTTTTGAATTCAAACCTATTTGAATTATTTCTGTTTGAGATATATCAGAACCCTCCTTCTCGATTAATTAGAGATACAGAGAAAAATATAACCAACTTCTCTAGATTTTAAATAGAAGTTTGGTAAACATCATTACTAAGTGATAAGCCTAAAGTAAACCATTCTTTCAAGAAAAATGATATGCCTAGATATCCCATCATGCATTCCAAGCTGTGTCTGTAACTCTGTTTTCAGTTATCAAGCAACCTATATTATCTTTTTCGTTTTTCTTTCTGGTGCTACTATGGGATAAATTGATATCATTAGTACATCTTTGCTAGATGTCTATATCCAGATATGGTCAATTTGAGATGTGTGCTCAGTGTTTTAGTTCATGGAACCATTGTGTTTCATAAGGGCATACAAGGAAGTGTCTAATGATAGATTGTGAATTCAATGAACTGGTTTACCTGAATGTTCCTTCTTTGGGTCTTCTATGTAATTGATTCTAAGGTAATGTCCCTTATGATTACAAGCGGATCATGTATCCCAGAGTTTTCAGTGATAGAACTCTGTTAGGGTCTGCCAAATATAATTTTTTTAATGGAGATGCAACCAAATATATTGACCATTGAATTGTGTGCTTGAGACTTACTGCTATTAATCATTCTAAGATCTTCTATTCTTGATTTGTGATTTATGGGCACAGTGATAAACTTTGACAGTGTTTGATTCTCTTAGTATCTTTCTTTTAATTTATATATTTTAATTTATATAATGGTGTCTTCAAGGCGGTGAGGAGAGGACCATTGAGTTTATGAAAAGGAAGGGTCGCTTAAGTTCCAAAACGCCATTATTGGAGTCTAGTTCTGAAAAAGGAGTTGTTAAACATCCTTTCCCGATGAACTACTTTGTCAGACCATGGAAACTTGGTCAATGGTTTTATCAAGTTGTCAAGTTTGGTATCGTTCAATATGTAAGTGTCTTCTACATTTGAGAAACATTATTCTTTCCATTTTGTTAGCTAGGTATCAATTTATTCTTTGTTATTTGGAGTTTCTCTACTGTCTTGTTTTATAATTAATATTGATTGAGTTTTGGAATTTTTTGTAGATGTTGATAAAGACCTTTACTGCTCTTTTAGCTGTGGTTTTGGAAGCATTTGGAGTATACTGTGAAGGAGAGTTTAAATTGAACTGCGGGTAAGATGATGGTATTGGACAATTAGATCTTGCTAGAAAATAAGTCAATATTTACCCTGTAATTAGTCTTCTGGTTTTCTCTCTTGTGGGCATTTTGCTGCAGTTTCAGTTAATTTTTAGTGTATAATTCAGTTAATTTTAGTGTATAATTGCTGCAGTTTCAGTTAATTTTAGTGTATAATTGTTACTATGATTATTCACTGGTTTTGGACTCCCTGTTGATGTACTGTTTTGGGTATTTTGGTGGTTGTTTTGTGCTTCACTCTTTTTCTGAAATTTATCCTGGATTACAAATTTTATCCATTTATCATATTCGGTATTAAAAGAGTAAGGAAATCCATACCAGTCACAACCTCTCCACTCATATTAATGATAAGTTTGAAAACAGAAAACATTTCATGGGAGTCGGTCCTTTACTTGCTCTACAGTTAGTTCATGTGTGCTGTTGAGTATCTCACAAGAACTGTGGAAAGATATTAATTCTTAGTAGTGTTATCAAATGGGGGATTTGGACTTGATGCGGTTGGGAGTCCGATGTGGGATGTGGCTCTCTACGGTGCCAATTCGGGTGGATATGCGATGATGCCGTCAATGTATTTAAGAAAAAATAGATAAATATAAAAATATAAAAATGCATAGAAAAATACATGTGTGATTTATGAGATAGTTCAAACTTTAATTTAGTACTTTTCTCTAATTTTTAGCTACCGAGTCGCCTGATTGTCTGATAAAGAGTGATATAGTTTATATACATGTGGTGTAATATAATATAATCCATTCCATCCCAATAGTAACAATTAACAATTCAACTTAACATCCAAAGACCAAAAATACTTTTTCGATTTTATTTTTATTTTTTTGACTGTCCAAGTCCAAAAATACTTCACAACCAGGAGTTTACGGCTGCAACTTCAAAGCCACAACCTAAACATAACTTACAAATCCCAATTCAAAAGAAATTTCGATTTCTTGGATTTAATCTCCTAGGCCTTGAATCCTTCAAATACTTGTTGAAACTTCTCTAGAAACTTTCAAAATGAAGCCCAAAACAATATCTAACAATCCAGCAAAGATTTAAGAACAAACCCCAAATTGTTTTCCTAAAGTTTTGGAAGCACTATATTTTTTTTTATTTCAATCCTCTTAGAACCATGAAGCATGGATCTAGGGGTTTTGGCCGGAGTTATCTATCCCCCCGGGGAACCGTTCCCCCCCCCCCTTTTGGAGGAAAGGAATTATAGTTTTCCCCTGCTCATGGCCGGAACCCTACTTGTGGGTGATATTGATATGGGCAATGCGGCCGCATATGCATTTGATGTGGCGCATGTGCGTTTGATGTGACACATATGCGTTCGATGTGACGCATATTCGTTTGATATGACACATGGATTCGATGTGACACGTATGCGGTTGATGCGCCGCATCATGAAAGCTCGGATATGCGGGTCAGGGCAATGCGCAGATGGCCGTGCAATGCATTATGAGGTCACATTTGCTACCACAGGTTCTCATAGTGACATAAAATCTGAATGAGAAATTTTCTGAAGCTTCCTACCATTCCTCCCACTCTGATCCTCACATCTCATAAATATGATTTGGAGAATGTTCTAGTTCATTTTATCAGTCTGTAGTCTAAGGGTCTTTGTGTGTCTTTCCTCTCTTCTATGTTGGTGGTTGTTATGTTGGGCCTCCATCTTGGAATCTGAGACTTTAAACACTATAGCAGGTCTAGCTAAAGATGGGCTCTCTGGCCCAGATGTATCCCGGGTTGCCTTTTTTTTTTTTCTTTGAGGATTGTATTGGGCTCATAGTCATGGAACTCTTCTCAGACCTTCCCCAAGAGGTATATGAATCATAAGGGTATGGATGTGAATTTTATTGCATTAGTTCCTAAATTAGACGTAGTAGAAAAAACTACCAACCTCAAGTCTAAGTGTCAAACAGCCTCCTAAACATCTCCTACAAGATTATTACAAAGTTTCTCACCTCGAGGCTTCTTCCCATCCTCATTAAAATTATTTCCTCGCCGGTTCTTTTGTTCACAAATTCTGGATGGTGCACTTACGCCCCATGAGTGCATCTGCAAGCATCATCAACTCAAACTTCCTGGTATGATCTCTAATCTTGAATCTGAGAAAGTTTACGATCATGTAGAGTGACATCCTAGAAGATGTGATGAACATAATCTTATTCAGTCCTGTTTGGACTAGAGTTCTTGGATTTGAGTATGTATTTCCTTGACCTACTTCTCTGTCCTTGTTAATGTATCTCCCCAAGGTTTCTTACCAGCATCATGAGGCCTCTGGCAAGGAGACACCCCTTCAACATTTCCTTTTCGTTATGGCTGAAATCTTCAGTTAAACCAACAATGGCCTTTATTACAATAACCTCCTTCACGGTTTCCATGCCCCCAGTGGCCCGTGTGTCTCTCATCTGCAGGGCATTGAGGACACCTTATGCATTTGCTAGGCAACACCTTCTATCTCTCTGGTTGTTTCTTAGGTGCTTTGAATTGGCTTCTAGCCAGCATATCAACATGAGAAGAACCAATTTTATTGGTGTTGCCATTAACGACATTCCTGACTTGCCCATAGTCTGTCTTGTAGCCGAGACATGCTCCCCTTGAAGTACTTTGGTCTCTCTATGTGCTTTAGCAAACCAAGGAAACATCAGCAGGACAGTGTCATGGAGGTGTTCGATAAGATATTAGCTGCATGGAAGTGCCACTACCTCCTTAGGATGTATGTTCACCTTTTTTGATGGCCACCCTGTCCAATATCCCCATTTTCCAAATGTCCCTTTTTTGGATTCGTGTGGCAGTTGTCCACGTGTGGAGTGGGGCAGGAGACTCCCACAAATACATCCTCATCAATTGGAACACAGACTGTCTTCCCAAGAGGACTGGTGATCTGGGCACTAGGAAGCTCAAGGAGACAAAACTTGCCATCATAGGCAAGTTGTGGTGGTGCTTTGCCACCGAATTGGGTCACGTCTTGGAGATGATAATCTCACAACACTATGGGACTGACGATCGTGGATGGCTCCCCAAAGGCCCATCTTAATGTTTTATCATTGGTGTAGTGTTTCAAAAAGCGCTAGGCGGCACCTAGGCGGTCAGGGGGTTCAGGCCGCCCAGCACCTAAGCGGGGTGCTCAGAACCTGAGCGGCCCAGTAGACTTTTTGTTTTTTGGGTTTTTCTCTTTCTAAAATAGGCTCTAATGGGTTTTAAATTTCAAATGAACCTAAAACCACAATTTTGCACCTTTAGTATTTAAAAAAGACCCAAAAATACCCTCAACGAGGGGCATTTCTGCCCCTAGGCGGGGCGCAAACCCTGAGCTGCCGCCTAGGCAGGTTCCTGGGCGCCTAGGTGGACGCTCATGGATATCCGCGTAGGTGTTGAGTGGTTCGCTTTTTAAAACACTGATTGGTGCTTGTTGAAGCATTATCCATATTTGTGCCTATTTCACCTAAGAATTCACTTTCCAGCCCAAACGGGAGGTGCATCAAGTTTTGGCATGACCTCTAGATGTAGTCTTCCACGCTTGAATATTTATTCCCCGGCTAGGCAATTTTGCCACTGATATAGAGGCCTCTATATCTTTTTGAGGAGCTCGGTGCTCGCCAAAGCTGGGCCCCTCTCTTCTGCCACAATTTGAACCCTCAAGAAGCATCTGACTTTGCCTCTCTTATGGAGACTTTAATCTGACAGGGGGCCGATAAAATATAAATCTATTGAAGCCCTTCCACCTTAGGAAAGCCCTCGGACTTCTACAATCACACATCCCTGCAAACACCTATCCAGCCATTGTCAATCTATCCAGGTGCATCATGCTTTTGACTGGCTCGTTGTCTTTATCGAAGTGCTTACCCTAGATAATCTACAAAGGCGTGGCTTCAGTATTCATGTTCAAAGAGGAGGCAGAAACAGCGATCAATCTGTATTTCTACACTGCAACGCTGCTTCCTAGATCTGAACCTTCTTCTCTCTATTCAAGTTTGCTCGGGTTGCCCGGCATGAATTGCTAGCTTAATTCCAGATTTGGTTCGCCTCCCTTTCCCCAATTCTGGCCTTATCATTTGGCCTTTTTCCATCTTATGCATCCTTGATCCATTTGGTTGGTGTAAAATCGTAGAACATTCCAAAGTGTAGAACTGCGTATCTTCCACCTTATTGACTATATCAGAGCTTTGACCATCACATGGACCCTGTCCTTTGGAGAGTTCAGTGGCCAGTCCTCCCCAGATTTTCTTTCTCTTCTTCTTCCATTGCCCTATCAATATATTTTCATCCTGGGCCACAACTTAAAGAATCATCAAGCTCAACTTCGATGGTTGCACCATAGGCATAGGGGTGGCAGTTGGACCCAGCGGGTCGGGTCTCCAAATGACTTGTTCTCCACCTAGGATCGGGTCTGGCATGGACCCTATCATGTCGGGTCCGGGTCATGTGGGCCCAACCCAACCCGGTATAAAATATATGCAATATATATACTACAATATATAATATAATTTTTTTGCATTTTTATATTTTTTATAGCCGGATCCGGTTCCAAATGACTTGGACCCTACTCGGGTTGGTTCCGGCCCGGGAAAAACTTAGTCGGGTCGGGTCTGAGTTGGGGTCTACCTGAACCCGACCCGATCCGTTGCCACCCCTAATAGGCAATCTGGGGCCTGCTGGTATTACAGGCATTCCTAGGCTATAATGGTGTGATCTTGAGGAATTTCTTTGTCTATACTGGAATTGTAGTCTCCAACATGGCCAAAGCCATGGCTCTTCTTGCTGATCTAATGATATGCACATGGATACCGAAGGCATCTCCTGCAGTGTTTCTGCTTGGGCCTCCCAGTTCTTCCCTGTAACTTTGAGATTTGACCATAGTTTTATGTTACAACTTCCCTCTTGTGACTCCATTTTTATGTCACTTTCTCTGACCCTCCAAGAGAATCAACCTCTTTGGCAGGCTGTCTGGCCAAGGAAGGAGCGACCAAGCCTAGCCTTAGTGTGGTACAACCAGAAGATCCCCCTTAGCCATGCCCATCTCCTTCTTGTTTGTCTTTTTATAATCACACTTTTTGCACTCTGCTGTCATCCTTGTACAGAATTACCGAGTTTTTTTTGTTTTTGAATCTGTTTACTTTGAATTAAAGAGAAAGTGTACAAGATACAAAAAATAATCTATCCAAAAAAATGGCCACCCACAAGCTGGGTGGTGTATACGGTGGACCCTGTTCGCGGTCACTATACAGAAAGGTTTCCAAGACGCCCAAACAAGGGAAGGAGAGCAGGAATACCGAGTTTCTTAAGCCCTATTTCTACTACTTGTCTCGTAAGACAAATTTTGTAAATTCTCAGTGTTTTTTGTACAGAGCTCGCAGTTTGTGGATAGCCATTTTTTGGTCTAAATAGCTCCTGGCTTATGGGTAGCCCATTTTTTTGTATACTCACCCCTTTCTTAATACGAATTTTAACATTCTAACAAAAAAGTGTTCCTTAACATTCATAATTTAATATTCTTTGGATTGCTCCTGTGTGATAAATGTTTGTCCTTTTATTCACTTGCTGTTGGGTCAATCCCTGGCTATAATTGCTCTTAAGGACTTATTTAAAAATGTTTGCTGAGCTACATAACCCACTATAAAACTTTCACTTTGCTCGTGTTGGTACTTTCATTCATGAGTCTTAAATTTGTTAAATGATTTGGTGGAAAGTATTTTCATGAAAAGAAGTTGCAAATAACAAATGGAAAAACCCAAAAAACAAAAAGTACAGAATGCTTTGAATAAGCTACTCGAAATTGCTACCAAGACTTTAGACATCCTGAGATTTTCTAAATTATGCTGGGAACAGTGCTGACTCCTCTTTGGACGATACATAGGTGATTTAAGAAAGAAGTCAGCCAAGATGATATCCTCACAATCATTAGCTATTTTCAAATCCGATCCATTGATGTTGCTTAAGTTATCTTGTGAAATGATTTGAGAGTTTATTTCAGGTGCTGCATTTTTTTTTTCTGAATCAATGTTTCATATTAAAACATATTTTGTCTTCCACCTTTAAAAACATAAAGCACACTCGCATGTTAAATATTGTAATGAGTTATCCGACATAAGTTGCAATGCTTGATGAGGGGCGCACTGGCGAATATGTTGCATGAGTTTTATTTTTAGGGATCTTTCCCCAATTTTTTATTTTGCCAAGCTTTTCTGATGTGAGATAATTTCTATCTTAAACTTCTGTAGGTACCCCTACATGGCTGTTGTTCTGAATTTTAGCCAATCATGGGCACTGTACTGTTTGGTTCAATTTTATGCTGCTACAAAGGATGAGTTGGAACATATAAAACCTCTAGCCAAGTTCTTGATGTTCAAATCCATTGTCTTTTTGACTTGGTGGCAAGGTGTGGCAATAGCTATTCTGTATGCCTTGGGCTTGTTCAAAAGCGCTATCGCTCAAGGCCTACAATTCAAATCAAGTGTACAGGACTTCATCATTTGCATAGAGGTATTTGTAATTTCTCTTCTTGTACGACAATCTGCATAGCGGTATTTGTATTCTCTTCTTCTACACCTGCTTTACTACGAGTGTTAACTTATTTATTCTAATTAATTTTTCTGCCTGGATGAATTCCAGACATCTTTTCTTTTACCTATCTTTGACTTATCTTTATGGAAGCCAAGCCTTAAACACTTCTGCTTTTTGTAAATATAAAACATGTACATCATATGAGTACATCGAAAAGTATACATCACGTTGTACCCTAAATATACAAACAGATGTTTACGTGCATAGTGGCTGAGTAAAACTCAATGGGAAAAACAAATAAAGCCAAAGATATTCTTTTCATACTCTGGCTTGGGCTTGATTAATTAAGGTGTTGACTGTTGTGACACTACTCCCGAGTTCAAATCCTACTGCAGAACTGCCCGACATGCACACACACGCAGACAGAGGCACACATATCATGGAACCACTGGCAAAGTGCGAGGGAATATCCACATAATAGGTTATCTTTCTTCTGTTTCTCTTGGCTGACATCTTGACTTCAACTTTTGTTAATCCATAGATGTGGCAGGAAGTTATAACTACTGCGACTGAGGTGGATGATCCCGAAAATGTTAGCCAACATCTGAGGGAATAAAGTTTCTTATCAATAACAGTAAGGGAATTATCCTTCACTATTGACAGGTCTCAGAATGAATTAGATAACACTTTCAGGTCAGTCCAAGGTTTTGTTGCTTCTGTTGCCATTAAATTGCAATACTGGAAGGCTCTTATGGTACATGCCGATTAATATGTCTGAAAATGTCTACAAGCCCCTCACCTGAATGTCGGGCAGGCTTATCTATAGTTCATTGCTTGTATGGAAGGGAAGGAAAAGCTGCATCTTCTGAAGGGCTGGGGTGGTGAAGAGAACATGGTCCAAGTTATTTAAAGGAATGCAAACATGGGCTTCTCGAAATGGACTTCCATTATTTTGTCAACTGAAAACTGATGAAGAAAGGTGCATGCAAGTTTTGACTTTATGGTGAAGACCATATGATGGGGCTTCCTTGTGGAGTTTAGAAATACAGACGAATGGATTTCATTGCCAAAGGGGCTTTGAGGCTTAATGTTTATTTATTTTTCATATGCATTTGATTTGGTATTCTGGGATATAACATAAGGACTAAGAAGAGAATTGTCAGTAATTGGCACTCCGTAAGCAGCAATAAATAAAGAAGTTGATGGGCCCCCTATGGATCAAGCAAGATACTCATTTTACATTGGATGTTGTGAAGGGTTGATTTACGGAAATTTCAACTGAAATTTACTTATTATAGATGTCCTATGATGCAATGTATACACAAAAAAAAAGAGTTTTCTTGGTTCATCATGCTGCATAATGACAAAATATAGAAATATTGATTCATCTTCCCACAATGGCATACTATAGAAATGCTTATTATTAACTATATGAGAACTTTAACATGCTAAAATTGTATAATTGGAATTATGGGAATGTGTGGCTTTTTAATATAATGAAACAAATAATATCTCATTCAGTCCCTCGAAATTTGGGTGAGGGATCTGAAAATTTGCATGCAATTTCATACATCAAATTGTAAATTGATTTATATTGATTTGTGTCATTCATGTGGACTTCAAAACAAATAGGAATTAAAATTGACTTGATTTAGGTATTGAAAGTCGCGTCTTAAAGACTTCTTGCGGTTGTTGCATGCTCCCTTTCTTCTCTCTCTATGTGTGTGTGTGAGAGAGAGAGAGAGAGAGAGAGGTTCATAATTTTTTTGTTGTATCAATTTTGTAGTAAAAAATTTGACGGGCCTATAATTTTCTTCCAGCACAGATGGGCATTGCTTCAGTCATTCACCTCTATGTTTTCCCTGCACGGCCTTATGAACTGATGGGTGATCACCATACTGGGAATGTTTCTGTTCTTGGGGATTATTCTTCTGTGGACTGCCCTGTAGACCCAGAGGAGGTCAAGGATAGCGAGCGCCCCACAAAACTGCGACTCCCCCAGCCAGATATCAATCCGAAAGGAGGCATGACTCTCAGGGAAAGTGTTCGGGATGTTGTTCTTGGTGGTGGTGGCTATGTAAGTCCCATGATCCTTTCCATTTTCACTTATTTTATGCCTTTGCTTTATATTTACATTGCAAAAGTGGCTGACTTTTGAATATCTATTGGATTTCAGTACCGTTTTAAATCTGATTAGTTTGCTTAGAAGTGTTTGAACTTGGTTTTCTTTTTTTTAAACAAAGGCTTTATATACTTAGTGCCTCGTTCTTTTCCTTTTTTTACTGGAAATGGTTAAAAATTTAAGACCAAAATTGGCCAATGTGTTTTTTAATCAAGCTCTTTGTAACCAACCGCATCTTCCCTTAACAAATGTGACTAATCCTCAACCTTGCAAAACGATACTGCTTTTGCAGTCAAGAATTCATCCCATGTATTAATTACACATGCAATCATTCAATCTCACAAAAAATTATACATACATGCATGCCTGTAGTTCCCTGAAGTAATTTTCAGACCTTCCAAAGCTCCATGGTTTCTCTTTTTGGTCTGTACTGTTGATCTTTTGTGGGGCAGGGATGGTTTTTTTGGGAGTCATGACATTGTGTTGCAACCCTTGCAGTCTACATCTGAGCCTAGGCGAAACCGTAGACCCCTATGTTCTTAGGATTTATTGTGATATTTATGCCACTTCTGCTAACCCAAGAGGTTCAAACCCATGAAAATGTATATTCCCTCATAAACTGGCTCTGGAGGGGGGTATCTGGGATTTAGACCCTTAAGTACTTGCTGCAACTGAGAGGTCAAAACAATGAAAATGTATGTATTCCTATAAACTGGGATTCGGATCAGTTAAGCTGGCCTTAAAACCAAAGACCATAATATTGTCCTTTTTCTTTTTTGAGAATGTATAATGTCGTCCAAAATTAATCTTGCAATTTATTACTGTTGCCAAAATGGCTCCATCTGATGGAGAACACCTGTCAGCACACCTCCTCCCCTCCATTCTTGCAGCCTTTCCCAATCCCTATATTCTCATCCCCCTTCTGTCCCATCAATCTCTTCAATCACCTCTTCTCTTTCCTCTACAGCTACTGTTGTCCCTCCAGCTTTCTCACTCCCGCTCGATGGTGGACACCTGTCTGTAGGCCATCAACTTCCTTCTCTCCCTCCGTCCAACTCTTCTCCATCTCTCCATCCTCAACCCACACCTGCCTCTTCTTGCTGGCCAACCTCGCATCCCTCTTCTTCCACTTCCCTTTCCTCCTCAAGACCTTATGTTGTCTGGTACTCCTCCTCTAACTACTCTCTCCCCCCTCTCTACGAAAACTACGTCCACCTCATTTATCCATGTAAGCCCTCGTCCTCTATACCCCCAGCTTACCCCCTACCCACGCTCTTCCTTCTTCGGTCCTCTCTTGTCTCTTGGCCCCCTTCTCCATCCCAGTAGGAGGAAGACAATCAACATTCCTTGAATGAGCTTTACAACGCTCCTTGGTGGGTCATTTCCAACCACCTTGTAATGATGTCAAAGGTATTGAGTGATGGGGGACTAAGGTTTGGGGTGATACAGACCTCATTTGCTGTCCTCGGGAGATTTCTTATTCTCATTTTCCTCGGAAGACAACCTCCTCAAAGCCCTGGACACGCAAATCATAGATTCAAAAGGGCGTCTCTTTCCTTCACTAGATGTCACAAGGAGTTGGGAGCTGTCAAACCACAAAAGATCTGGCTCAAGGCCTCTCATATATCACTCCAAGCGTGGATCGTGGACACTTTCAGCCACATCAGAGAAGCATGTGGAGCATTCATTGCCGTCAACTGGAGATCTGTCACCGCCCTTTCCCTCAGCACCATCCGACTCCTAGTCGAAACCCTTATCCTGTCACGCATACCCCCCTTCATTTGGTTGGAGGTCAATGATCTCTTCTTCCAGGTTCCGGTGGCCTGGTCTCCAGCCTTCCCCCCCGTACGACAGCAATTTCCTGGGCCACCAAACTCCCGTCACGAGATCACAACCTCGGGAGCACTATCGCCAGCCCACGGTGCTCCACTCAGGGTGGACTACGGTCAACTGTAGGCGCCACTGGAGATTCCATTGCGATCGTCAGATCCGCAATCGCACGGCTCTTCGAAATGGTTTATAGGGAAGATCATCGGTCCCTGATCCTCCTCCACACCTGCCACGTGGTGACATCCCCGCACTCCAGCGGGCCACCTCGCAACCCTGTCTGCAGTCTACAACCCATGTGATGCCACCACTCCCGGTCCATGCAATTGCGCCAAGGAGCACACATGCTCCTTTGTGTGCCTCGCAAGCTAGCGTTCAAATGATGCTACCCATTTCTAATTCCTTTGAAGAGGATCACCCTAATCACGTGATCACCTCCCTTGCACCCTATCATTGGGCGACACCTGGCAGACCTCATGACACATGTCAACAGCCGAACCCCCCAGTCGACCTCCATCCTCCTCCCTCGTCCCATCACATGAGTGTTGGTTCTACTCTACCCGAACCTTCCACTTCTGGTGATCCCCCATCAATGACTCTTATCTTCTTGGTGGGCTCACCATCACACAACCCTACCCACCTCTCTCCTTCCTTGGCTGCCAACCCTTCTCCTCCATGCACCACCTCCCTCCCACCAACTTGGCTTTTGGGGTGAACTACGACAAGGGAGCATCCCAGGAGATCCAAGTCATCCCATCCATGCCATGTGCCAGTTCTTCCCAGTCTACCTGGCAGTCTTCCAGGCACTCTTCAAGGTGCGCCCAATATCTCCCTCTTTCATCATGAAGATTGTAATCTGGAATATCCATGGCTTGGGCCACTACAATAAGCAAATTTCTTTTATGGACCTCTGCTCCAAGTACTCTTCTGCCATCCTCGCACTTGCTGAAACCAAGCTCCCCCAACCCTCCCTTCCGAGATTCGCAAGATCTGGGGCTTCAAGCCCTGCTAGTGGGTTGCCACAAGGCTCCTCGGGGGGATTCTAGGTCCTCAGGGACCCTTCCATTCATTCTTTTGTAACCTCTTAGACTGGCTGATTCGCTCTCATTGTGGTCTTGTCCAGAGTCTCTGACGGGCTAACTGGAGTTTATGGGCCTAACTCTAATAACCTCAAGGATTCCTTCTAGGCCGAACTCCAAGATCTAGCTTCCTTGGCTCCTCCCTCCTATTTGGTGTCGATAGGGGACTTCAACAGCACCAGTTGGTCCCATGATCGCAACTCCAACTACAGAATCTCCCCTGATATGGTCCAATTTTCCGACTTTATCTCCCAGAATCAACTTCTGGACTACTCTCTCAAAGGGGCCCAATTCACATGGTCCAACTTCTGAAACTCTCCCTTAAAACTTGGAGCCGAAGTTGGCCGAACAACTTTCGTTTCCAGAAGGCTGACTTGCTTTAGTCCATCCAATCTTGGGATTCCATTGAAGCGGCTGGACCTCTAACCTTCACTGAACTTAACATTCAGTCCAAAGCTAAGCTCGAATTCCTCTCGCTTCTACACGAAGAAGAGATCTTTGGGCTCAAAGAGCCAAAATCAAGTGGCTCAAACTTGGTGATTTAGATACTGGGTACTACCACGAGATAGCCAACTGCAGGAGGGAAAACTCCATCTCCCACCTCAAAGTGAGTGACTCCATCCTGGGCCAACCTGTCGTCGTTGAACGGGCAGCAATTGATTTCTTCTCTCAGCCTCTCTTTGCTCCCACAGGGCCAAACCCTCAATGGCAGACCTTTCCTGGCATATGCTCTCCCCCGACCAGTCGACTTGGCTGGAACGTCCTTTCGACGAGGACTAGATTCTTCAAGCCTTGAAAGATGTCAGTCCCAACAAAGCATTTGGCCCTGATGGGTACCTAGTTGCCCTTTTCAAAACCTTTCGGGGCACCATTCGGTTAGATATTCTAGCCTTCTTCTCAGAATTTCATTCTGAGGTGTAATCCACAAAGGATGAATGCAACATTCATCCCCAAAATAGGAGTCGAGGAGCTTAAAGACTACAGACCGATTAGCCTAATCAACAATTCCTATAAGTTGTTGTCGAAGGTTTTGGCCACCAGACTCAAGATCGTCCTTGGTCTAGTCATTTCCCCCACACAAGATTTGGTAATCCTGGATGGAGCACTAATCACGCACGAATGTATTCACACCTGCTACAACTCCAAGATACCAGGTCTGGTCATTAGACTTGACTAGGAGAAAGCCTATGACCACGTAGACTAATAAATCCTTGAAAAAATTCCTTGCCAAAGAGGAAATTGATCTGTGGCTGCATCTCATCCCCAATCTTCTCAGTGCTCATAAACAATGTTTTAAAATGCGGGATGCGAAAGCGGTGGGGGGACCGATGCGGCTAGATGCGGTCCGGATGCTGGTGCATCGCCGCGATGCAGTCAATAAATATAAAAACTCTAAAAAAATCTGAAAAAACAGGTTAATGCATAGAACAAAATATGGTGGTGATATATGTGAATAGTGGGTATTTAGTTTATTCATTAACTCCAAAGGTATTAACTATCGGAGATTCTGAATCCATTTTCGCCTGATAGAAACTAGAAAATTGAAACTAGCTTCATAAACCATTTACCAATCAACAACCATAAGCACAAATCTGCAACCACAAACTTTAAAGTTACAAAATATTACAAACAAAAAGTCCATGAAGATTAAAGGGTTTTAAAGTTACAAACCCTTGATTTGTTGTCACTTGTCACAAGTTTGCCCAAACTTCCTCAAATCAACACCCAAAAGATACAAATCAACAACCAAGCATTAACAAATGCACAGATCGAAGAACTTCAAGAAATAAAATTTCCACCCAATTTTTTTTTTGATTCAACTAATCCGATAAAGTGGCTGAAAAATGTGGGTTGGGAGGTTTAATCCCCCCCCAAACCCTTTCCCCCCATTTGTGAAGGTCAAAATGATCTTATTACCCCTGCCCGATGGGTACAGTTTAGAAAAAAAATGGCGAAAGATTATGCGGCCTGATGCGGGATGTGCATATGCGGGGGCATCTCTCCAAACCGCATATGCGGGGATTTTTTATGCACTGCCCAACGCATAGCGCCTGATGTGGCCGCATTTTAAAACACTGCTCTTAAAAGGGTCCTCTATAGGCTACTTCTCGGCCACTAGAGGGCTCTGCCAAGGAGATCTTCTATGTCCATTCTGATTTGCCATTGTGACAAAGTTTTCAATTCCTCTATCTTGAGGTTGTACCAAGCGGGCCTCCTCAAGAGGTTCCGCTCTAGCAGCCTTAGTCCCATCATCTCACACCTTCAGTACGCGGACAATACGCTCCTCTTCTGCGACCCCTTCCCCCAGCAAGTGGTCATCCTGCTTTTGTTCCTCAAGTGCTTTGAGATGACCACTGGATTCAAGGTCAATCTCGCTAAATCCAAGATGATGGCGGTATGCACTGACACCCAACAGGTCGAACTTTTGGTAGATAGGTGGGGGTGTTATGTAGAGGAACTACCATCCTCCTACGTGGGACTCCCGCTGTGTATTGGAATGCCCCGCCTCCCTCAATGGATTACTTTAGTTTAGTAGGGCTTGCTTGCGACTGTAGGAAGTTGGGCTCCTTTTGAAAGGCTTTCCCTCCCTCAGCAACCAGCTTTTGATACTATATATAACTATAACGTTACACTGCCATTTTTCCTTTTTCATGGAATAGCATTGCCTGGGGCTAAGGTAACTCAAGTGGGAGAGCCGTGTTATGGGTGACCTCATTGCACGGTTCAGAGAGCACTTGTGTATGTGATGCAAGTGAACGTGTGCGAAAATGTTGTCGTAAAGTTTCGTTGTTCGTTCCGTCGTCGACCTTGACAGGAGGTTTACGGGATGGAAAGGTAGATTTCTCTCTCAAGCTGGAAGGCTTATCCTCATCAAGCCTACCTTAGCCAATACCCCAGTGTACCAGATGTCCCTCTTCCACACTATTGCCTCGGTTGTACCAGATGCGCGACTTCTTTTGGTTGGGTGAAGGAGGCCATAAATGCCATCTTATATCATGGCCAGTCTTGTACTCGCCCGAATCCCAGGGTGGTTTGGGTATCCAAAATCTCAAATCCCATATCACAGCCCTTCTCGGCAAATGGTGGTGGAGATTCACCACCCAACCCAATCATCGTTAGAGGGAAGTAATTCGTCACATACAGTGACGGGGTGGACTCCCAGGCTCCGGTGTGTAGAACTACTAGTAACATATGCGACTTTTGGCGGTCCCTTCTCCACCGCCGGGATCTCTTCCTTCAACAAATTTGGTTTAGGCCAAGAGAGGGAAGTAGGGTTAGCTTCTGGTCTGATGTGTGGCTTGGTCACACACCTCTTATGGAACAGTTTCACAACTTCTTTCGCCTGGCTTGTGACACTAATTCAACTTGTGGCTGACAATTTCAGCCATATGATATCAGCTAGGACCTGGTCTCCTAATTTCAGAAGAAACATTACCAATCAGGAGTTAGGATTCCTGGCTTTGTTCGACACTCTCCATCACGTTTATCTTCCCCGGGCAGGAGAAGACAACATCATATGATCACCTGAAGCCTCAGGAAACTTGTCAGTTTCCTCTTTCTTTTGGGACCTGCCAAATCACATCCCCCTCTCCCTTTCGCTTCCAAGGCGTGGACTTGCCCAATCCCCCGGGAAATCGAAGTTTTCTGTTGAATTGCACTCTACAAAAAAGTGCTCACCATTGATCAAATCCAAAAAAGAGGAGTCCTACTTCCCAACCGATGCGCTGTGCCAGGAGGCTGAAGAAACTAATACACATGTCGCCATCCATTGCAAGATACCTTCTCCTTTATTCAAGTGGTCTTGGATCACCCCTTCATCAGTTCCTCAACTCTTCCAAGTTTCCCTATTTACTCCTTGGCCCAAGGCAGGAAAATTCCTTTGGAGGGCTGCCATAGCTGCCACCCTTTGGATTATTTGGCTAGAGAGGAGCAATAGAATTTTGAGGGGCGAGGAAAATTTGGTGTCCTCTTTAGTTGACAAAATTAGATCCCTGGTTTCTTTCTGGGCCAAAAACCAAAAATGTTCAAAGATTTCTCCTTCTTAGACCCATTCAGTAACTGGCACGCTTTACTGAACTTGAGACCTCCAGGATATCTCGGGCTTGTCTTTGGAGGTCACCGGAATTAGGAACCTCCAAACTGAATTTTGATGGTTGCTCGCTCTGGCAACTAGAGACCTTCTGGCATAGGAGGCATCTTTAGATCCCATGATGGCTCGATTATGCGTTCCTACTCCCTATTGGTATTGCAGATTCTAATCTTGCCGAGGCCCTAGCCTTCTTGGAGGACCTTTGAAAGTTCAACCCCAACTGGAGCTCCGCTTTGCTGGTCGAAGGAGACACTCGAAATGTCATTGCTTGGGCCTCTTGCTCTGCCAAATGCCCATGGAGATTACTCACATTTGCAGGGGGGCCTTCGGGTCTCTTGGTAGCACATTTTTAGGGAAGCTAATGCAGCTGCCGAGTTTTTGGCCATGGAGAAAGCCCCACCCAACTCCACCATGGCATTATTGCCAACCCCTTAGAGCGCATAGGCAATCTGAACTGTACTTAACACGTTTCATTTTTTCATGTTATTTGCTGTATAGCATTTTTGGACCCTACAGGGATTTTGTATAGGGCACCCGTCAGAGTGGTTGCCTCATTTTTTGTATACTCCATTTTACTCAACATAAAGTGAACATCTTAAAAAAAAATGTCGTCCCTAATTAAATAGTCCAGAACTCAAAAAAGGAAAACAAATCCTGATGAACTGGCGAAGACTCAGTCAACAGTTAAAAGAACCATGCTATCTGTTAAACATGCCAGTCCAAGGGCCAAAAAGGCCTAAAAGCCCCAAAAAGCCATACTCACAATTGGAATCTGAACAGTGCCCTTTAAGTAGCATGCTCTTGTAAACTCTTTTTTTTTTATCTCCTTGGCTAAACCTGTTGGTGATTTTAGATCATGAATGATGTCAAGTTCACTGTTACGCATGCTGTTGAGCCAATGGAGAAAGGGATCACCCGGATAAATGAAAAGCTCCATAAGATAAAACAGAACATAAAGAGGCATGAGAAGGGTGGGAGAAGAACCAAGGATGATAGCTGTATCGCCTCCTCTTCTCCCACTAGGAGAGTGATCAGAGGTATCGATGACCCCCTACTCAACGGGAGCATGAGTGATAGTGGTTGCAGAGGAGCTTCAAGGGCCAAGAAGCACCGACGTGTTTCTGGTTATACAAGTGCGGAGAGTGGAGGAGAGAGCAGTGATCAGGCTCAGGGTGGCTATGAGATCCGTGGATGCCGATGGATCACCAAGGACTGATAATGTGTGTTTTTCCCATCAGAATGCGTAAGAGATGAATCTAATACCAGTGCACGTACAGAGAGGTTACAGAATCTTGATTCTGGTGAAGTTGCGGGGTTTGTTTTTGGCATGCTGCAAATGTGCAATAGGAGAGAGAGCGAAGGTATATTTGATTGAGGATCCGGTATATAATTTTATTTGCTGCTCTGGGCATTGTAAATTTTGCCATTGGTGATGGTGGGTTTGCAAGGAAGTGGTGGAGGTGCAGATTATGTTCTTTTCTTTTCTTTGCTTTCCATTTGTAACTTTTTCTGCTGTGGGTTACATCCCATTCAAGGAATGCTTTGCATGGTGAGTGACTTTGTATGAATGTAAATTTCAAGGAATGCTATTCATGCAGAGTGGCTCCTTATGATCCACATTGTTGCCCTACTTGTAATACACATTATGCCTGTTTACCTCTAATGGAGTTTTGAGGTTCAATATTGAAGCTTGTAGAGTTGGGGGGCCTTTTTTGGGTCCTTGAAATTAAAGAATTTCTCCATTTGTAGTGTGTGTTGACCATATCCGGGAGAAATCTTCCCGTCATCCTTATTTTACGCCTCATTTTTTGGGAAAAATATTTTCAAATAAATAAGTAGAAAATTTATTAACCAAAATTTTTTTTTTTACGCCTCATGTGAATCTAAGCTTCGCTCTCACATGTGAATGTAAGTACCTCTGTCCATCTCTAACACACAAGTGAGAGCAGAAACCAAAGTTACAGATAAGATGTAGTGTCAATTTTAGGAATCGACAAGAGTTACCATACAATTCAAGAGAGACTTCGAGCGTTTCGAGGACTGCAGTCAAGACTCAAGCTTCTCTTAAACTTAGCAGAAAAAATAAACGATGTAACATTATCTAAGGGGTGGCATGTGTGTCACCTTCGTAGAAAACCACTTCATTGGCTGCCCCAACCAAGCGATTGGATGGAGCTAACACGGTGGGTAGGAGAATGGATCTCCTATGACTGGGATTGCTGGTTGATTTCGGACTGATTTGGTGAGGTGAATTTGTAAGGGGCTCAAGCCCAGGCTCAGGCCCTCACCATTCTACATCGTAGTTTGCTTGCTAGTTCTTCATACCCTGTTGGATCTGTACCAAACCAGACTCCAAATTCCTAATTGAATGAATCTACCCTGAACAGAGTCCCCAAAGAGTTATGCCACCATCCATCAAGCTCTATCTGATGTGACCGTGTGGCTTTTGTACCATTTGAGAACAAGAGCTGGCTCCAAAGGACTAGAATTTGTGAAATTGCTTCATTTATTCCATTCCCTTCGGAAGGGACCTTTTACCCTCTGAACTACCCAAAACACAAAAACCAACAATAGCCAAAGAATTCCTTCTCAAAGCTATACGTTTACCAAAGAATTCCTTCTCTACGTTTATTGGAGAAAGCTATACCTTTATTGGAGAAAGGAAAAAGGACTGTATTTTCATACAGAGAGAATTTGTGCCCAAGGTAAAAAGATTAAGGATTGTCTACAAAAAAGACACCAACAATAGCCAAAGAATTCCTTCTCAAAGCTATACGTTTAGCCAAAGAATTCCTTCTCAAAGCTAAAAGCTATACGTTTATTGGAGAAAGGAAAAGGACTATATTTTCATACAGGGAGAATGGGAGAATTTGTGCCCAAGGTAAAAAGATTTACGATTGCCTACAAACAAGACATTTATATTTTATACATGAGAATCACAATCATTCTCACTTGTCAAATTGGATCGCTTGAAGTGAGTCACGAGGTCTGAAAATTTATTTTTTTGAAACTTTTGCATCTATTTACTAACATTTTTACAGCCACTCATTTTGAAATTCAAAAAACAAAGAACAAAAATGATTGTCACTTCTATATATACAAAACAAATAAATACTCTCTCAATCCCAAACGATAATTGGGCTTCTCAATATGATTCACAGAGAATGCGCCTGAACGTGGCAATACAAAGCGATTGACGAGCTTGCATGCCCAAAAATCATTCTATTGAACTTCATATTTCTCATTAGCCGACTCCTTAGTGGCTCATGCAGAAGATGATTTTTTCTTTTTTGAACAATTTAACTCAATGAAATAGTGAGACTTGAGTTCAAAAACAGATTAGGGAACCGTGGTGAAAAACTCGGCGACCAGCTTGTTCACTGCAAAACAGAGTAAAAACTCATTGAATCAAATGGTTTAACTGTGAAAACTTGGTGAATGCTGACTTGGGACCTGGTAGGAATGGAACTCTCTCATACGCACATGCACACACGTGTGCACACACACACACACATCAAAGTTTAGTTGTTTGCATGTATGAAACCCCAAAGGTCATGTACAAAAGCAACCGTATTCATTAACAAGTGCATTCCTAGATCAAATCCAGAAAGCTCCATGCCAAGAGAGAACAAGAATCCCCATCTTCCATTTAGGAACAACTAATGAAGGGAAACAGCTATCATTAACACCTCTTCTTCAATATTCAACAAAAACCTCGAGTAATGTGAACAATTTGCTCCTATTGAGACAAAATTCCACTATAATCACATGTAACGGACTCCTGCCAACCTCAGCTTTACCTCCTTACTGGAGGAACAACACCCCTACCAGGTGGTGCAGTAGCACGACCAGCAGCCTGAGCCTGTGTATGGAAACAAAGAAGAGACCGCAGTTAAGAAAAACAAGATTATGAATTTCACTAACACATTGAGAATATATAAATTAAATTGTCTAAATAAAGCAGAAAATTAGTCCCCACTAAAATAGCACAGGAGAAATAAGGAATTTGCACAGTGCATTATTGATCAAGACTGCACTTTTAAGACATGGGTGCAACATAAACAAAATCAGATAAGCATATGAATGTAGTAGTCTCCATTAAAAACAGTGTTAGTAAAGAATAATGATGGAACCTGCAGAAAATATTTTGAATCATAGCGACATGCTGACAGCTTAACCTATCAAAACCTGGTATCAGTAAAATGCCCAACAACATTATTTCTATAGAATAGGGGTTTAAACTTTAAACCCAATAATAGTCACAAGACTCGACGAAAATTTCCACATCGAGTAGAAATATATATAAAGACCAGAAATAACATATATGCATTAATCTATTTCCATTTTCACTCAAAACACTATTTTTCACTCAAATCACCAGCGTTAGAAAGCTAAAACATGGAGATTTTTTTTTAGGAAAAATAAAATAGGGAAAATCTATTGAATATTGAATAGCGCATTTAATTTTTTTGAAATGTAATGGAGTGTTTCAACTTAACATCTTGCTTGAGGAAATAAGTGTCCCAGGACATTTTTCTGCACTGGAACACGAAACAATTCAGTGAAGGTGTTTGTACATGTGGCAGAAACTCACCCTGGCTCGCATGGCAACTGCTCGACCTCGGCCAACTCCCAGGCTTGCACCTTTGCCCTATAGTTGGGAGGGGGAAAAAAGAAAATCAGTAAATTGGATAATGAATCAAAGGGAGGCACTGAAAGATAAATGCTTAAAATAAAATAGCACATAATTGGTTGCCTTGATTCTTGCATCCAATCGCTTGAACATAGGAGCATTCTTTAGCATATCGGGAATGACCATGAACCTGCTTGCAAGAAGATCACATTAAAGATTCACAATATAGTGCCGAAATTCAAATTTCGGATAGAGAAGAACAGAACCAACCTGACTTTGCTGCCTCGAATAAAGACATGCTCAAGCTGTGAGACCTTCCCATCCTGGAGAATAGAGACAATAAAATAAGCTAAAACAATACACACACATGAAAGGAGAATAAGTCTAAATTCATAAGCTAATACTCATGGCTCTAAAGCCACGAAAACATAAAAAATACCAAATCTAACCAACTAAAATGTAACTTAGAGAAATGGCAAAAATCTCTACTGTTTTTTTTTAAGAAATGTTAACTTTGTATAAATGGTAAAGGAATTACAAAAGGATTAATCTATGGACGGCATCCCACAAGCTGGGTGCTCAGACTTGCGGCAAAAATCTCACTGTTTTTTCTGAGCAGTACAAAAGCCGCCACTTTCCTACAAATTAAATTGGGTCAGCTAAATTTACAAAAGCCAAGCTTCATCATGGGAGTTTGCAATGTATAAGGTAAGATAAGTAGTTGAGGGGGGCAGAGCTTTTCAAAGAAATCCACTCTTTCCATCCCTGTGATATATACATCCCTCTAGAAGATGTTCCCCAAGCTTTAAATAGTGAAATGAAACCCAAAGTCATTGAATGAGACAATTTGACAAATCCACTTTCAAGTCATTATTTCATTTTTTTATAGTTTTCTTTGCATTTTATGGCAACTTGATTATATTAATATTTCCCATGTTTCTGCAAGGTTCTAATGTTTATAACATGGTTCTGTGGTCCGGTTCAAGCTTCACAATTCACAAACCATAAACTCCAGTCCAACAAAAGCGTAAGATCTCTATAACTAATGAATCAGTTTCTTGAAAAAAATAATTGTCAGGGAAATTAGTGGTGGCTGAATTGATTTATGAAACTGTTTGAATTGGTGAGGATCTGCATTTTTCTTAAACCACTTTATCCCACTTCATCTGAAGAGAATAATAACAATGGTATGATTCATAATAAGTCATTTCATCATTATAAGGGGTAATTGCTATCACTCAAATAATGCATTTCACTTTAAAACTTTCAATAGCCTCAATTTCCTCAAAAAAAAACTTTCAATAGCCTCACTCACCCTTGATTGTTCTGGGAAAAGTAATAAAGTACTATATGATAGCGTGTAGGTTTTCTCAAGCATATGGTTTTTTTAAAAAAGAGGTATTGAAAAAGCTAATAAAATTGAGATAGAAAAAAAAGGAAACTGTAGAATTCCTATGTCACATATGAACATAAGTTTCAAATAACAAAGATATGTTATACATCTTTTTTTTAAAAAAAAAATACTAATTAATGAATTATTGATAGAATTATGATTTTTGACAAGTAATGTTGCAATAATATATTTGTAAATTGTATTCAATATCAAAGTCAAATTCTAAGATTGGATAATAATTCCAATTTTGTGCAATATATGAATAAAAAACACAATAAATTAAAACACATTACATCAATAAATGATTTGTTAAAACACTGACTAATGAATTAGACCTGATCACTGACCACGACCCTAGTGATGAAAGAATTTCACATGTACCAATTACATAAGTATAGAAGTATGAAGGCAATGGAGATGACTAATGAATTAGACCTGATCACTGACCACGACCCTAGTGATGAAAGAATTTCACATGTACCAATTACATAAGTATAGAAGTATGAAGGCATTGGAGATGTAACACAAGCATTTGCTCACTAATTGAACATGACCCCCATCAATAAGATTCCTTGTTTTCTCAAAAAATAATAATATTCCTTGTCAACAATAGGATTCATATGTAAGTATAAAAGTACGGAAGATGTTGGAGAAATATTGCAAGTACTTTTCAGCGATTGAAAATGGTCTTCATCAGTAACATTCCTTATCAAATTAACAGAATTTATATATCAGTATAAAACTATGGAGGATGTTGGAAAAATATTGGAAGCATTTTTCAGTAATTGAAATGGCCCTTGTAAATAACAGCCCTTATTTATAACAACAAAGAGTAGGTTACACAGACTTGTACTGTACAAATTTTTTTTTTTTAATAATAATACTATTTTTATAAGCAATATCGACAAGAAACCACCACAGGCAGATGCAGTATAGTGTTATGTAGTAAAATGTTTCCAACACAAGGTTTTCCTTTCTAATGGCTCAAAAACTTCCCTTGGCTCTTCAAATTTTCGTGAACAACAAAGATTGTAAAAATGATGCAACGAAACAAACAAAAATGTTATGAAAGTGAAGAAAATGATACAAATTTATCAATAAATGAAATTATCAATGCCTATACAAAAAGACAACCACAAAAATGTGAGTAAAATGAGAAAACATGATACACTGATCATCAAGGCAATCTCTTGAAGGTCACACTACTCAAACCATAATACGGCTCAAAAAGACCATCATGATCTAAGTTATTCCATTTTGCATACATATTCGCATCATTGTTCCCAATTTCAACTTTTGACAAGATTTCAAATAGTGCATATAAAATACATGCCCAGATGAAATATATTTTTCAACTTAAAAATCATAGTTTTAGTAACGAAACTACAACTGAAAATTAGAATACCCAAAATATATAGTATTATTCAATTACAGTGATTTTTATAATAATATTAAAGTGCAATGTATACTGAACCACGATCCAGATACAATGGATTCAATCACGAGGCAAGTTCATTTTCTACAATTGTTGTTCTAACACAAGATTCTTAAAAAAAAAACATAGAATATAGCATAAGCAACAAATTATAAGGGACTAAAAATGAAAGAAAAGCCATAGTTTTAAAGATTAGTATTATGGAATTCCAAACAATAAGCCCCTAAGATATAAAATCAAGTTCATAGTAGATTCTTTCAAAAGATCAACATCACATATGCCACTTAAAATCCATATATATTCTCTGATTAAATGAAATTCCTGGCAGTTTCGTGAAATGCCATTGAAAAGCGTTCCCTTGAGAGAAAAGAAACCACTCAAGACATAATTTTCAGGCATTTCCAAGGCGAAGAAGTCAGAATATCGAACCCTAAATACCAAACCGTAGAAAAAGTGTGAGGTGAAAACCTTGGCAGTATAAGTAATGGACTCGAGCTGACAGTTCCAGTTATCCTCGCACTCCACCATGCTTCCTCTGTAGAGCTCTCCGCTCTTTAACTCCACCGTAACGATATGGCCCGCTGCTTCATGCAAGAGCTTCACCGGTATACCCAAGCTCCTGCTCATTTCTGCAACTCTCTATCGCTCTCTCTCTCTACAAAAAAAATCTCTCTGAAGAACAAAAGTCGAAACCCTAGCTCTTCATCGTCTGATGCTATAAAGCGAGTTCCCGCTCGGCTTTGATTCATTGGACTTTATAACAACCTTTCTTTCCTCATATGACTAATGCATCCTTTGTCTTTCCTTTTGCTCAAGAGAAGCGTAATACCGTGGATCCAACTTCTACCAAACCTATTCGGATCCAATTTCTACCAAACCAGTTTTGGTCCAATCAAAATTGGTTCGATAAAATCTGTTCGAATCAAAATTGAGTACAACTTTCGATCAAATTAAGGATTTGGTGTAGACCAAACCAACAAGGTAATATTAGTTGGCTATCCGAATTGTTGGATTGAATGGTCCAGTCTTGATAACTAAAGTGAAGTATATTGTGGTGCTTATAGAAAAAGAAAGCATAGTTTGATGTATTGTTCGAGGCAATGGGGAAATTGAAGGCAACACCGTCGATAGCTTGATGAACCGTGATGGAGAGACCCTGAAACCCCCTACGATTTCTCTCCATGGTCTTTTCTATCTGAATGATGAATTTTAATGAATCAAAGGCCTATAGTACCGTGGATTGGAGTTAACATGATTTATTTTGAACTGTAGAGAATCATAAGGGGGAGAATATACTTTATACCAATGTTATTATGATTGACTATTAATTAAGGATTTGGTTTAGTCAAAATTAATTCAATTGACGATTTTAAGAAGTTAAAAGAAAATTAAAAATAATAATATTAATATACAAATTATATTAAAATATTTCTCAAATTTATTTAGTCGGTCGAACCAGACAAAGTTGAATATTTAGTAGGTTATAGCTGGTCCAACATTGATTTTTCTCATTTTTTTCTATCAAATTCGATTTTTACTTGGGACTAAGGAGATCGAGGTACCGATTGGTGGTTTGATATACGAGTTTGGTCTGATCTTGATAATTGTGCTTTATTAACGTGCAGTAACACCTCTTACAATGGACATGCTTATTTATTTATTTTGACAAAATAATGGACACACTTAATCGATGTGAATGAATATGTATGAGTTTCGATCAGTCTCGGGCTTTATGAAAAAAATAGAGTAAAGACTCACCTCTAAACTTCGTCTCAGAAAATACGCTAGGCATTGGAAATCTTTATGAGTTCGTTTTGAGTCTGTTTGATTATTTTATAGATATATGTTAATTGTTTTTAGAATGAAAAAAAACCGCCTATCACATCTTGAAGTGATACAGAAAGAATGTTAAGATAGGCGAAGAATGCATGAACAAGGCAATGCAATACATGTTGATCATCATCATCATCCAAGTTTAATTTTAATTATTTAGGATCTATTACATGAATCATATTCCTACATTCATATGTTCATAATTCATGACAAGATGCGAAAAAGTTTTAATGGCAATGTGATGCATGTCCATGTGCATGAATGTTGGGCACAGGATATAACAAATCGTGTCCAAGGGCCACAAACTTTATAAAGCATGGAGCCATGTAAAATTTAGACTTTCAAGGAGCAGTGACTGTTATCGATTAGTGATTCAAGAGAGTTACAATGTCAAAAAAATAAATTGACATGGGATGTCCACAAAGTACCTCAGATGATTAACAACATTTACAATTAAATGCAAATGAAAATGAAGCATCTACCTTATTTTAACTAATTGATAGTCAATATTTGTATTAATTGAGAATATTGTGAAAGGTTTCATTCATGCCTGATCCATGTCGATTAACTAATTGATAGTCGACATTTACATTCATGCCTAATCCACGCCTAATCCTTATGAGAATTCTTAATTCATGAGATTTTCCCATGGAGCACACGTATCAATAAACATGGATCATACTCTTTCTTATGCTTCCAGTTCTTATTTTGATAGTACTAGGACTCCTCTTATTTTGATAGGACTAGGACTACTGGCAACAAAAATCTGGTGTTTTAGTGCTGAGTATAGTCAACCAACAAAGAATTGCTTATTTGTGAAGACAAAAGGAAGGCCTCCTAATTCCACACCAAAATCCTTCCTGGAAAAAGTGTGTTGTGTATGAAGGGAACGGCGATGACGAGCACAGTTGCTCAACTATAAGGGGCAGATCGAATGAGGTTCTTAAACTAGCCTCTTTCTTTAACCGGTTCGTCGTTTTTTAATTATTTTGAAACTAGTATTTCTTTCTCTTTTTTGTGTTTGATAATATTACAGAGTTTTATTAATCAATGAATAATAAAACTAGTCTTTTGGGTGCAGTAAGATCAAGTGATATACATATGCCCCAGACTTCCGAAGAGTATTAGAGAAGTTCTATTCGATACAACATAATACTTTGGTATATCTTTCTCATGCATGGCCTCTCTGTTTTTTATCTTACTTATGCAATCTACTCTTGGATGAAGGCCAGAAATGAAATTTTACATGGGGTTGTCTTTCTGTCAACTATAGAATGGTGTTTTTTTTTGTCGGGTCCTCGAAAGCCCCTCACCTGTGGAATTAGGAATCCCAAATATTGGGATCCCACCCGAACAATATTTTATTAGTTTTTTTTTTTTTTCTAATTTTTCTGATGGAATAAATATGACTTTTTTTTCTAAGCAATGTCTTGCAAAAAGAGCATTGGAAGATCACGGAGTTCCTCCAAACCATATCTTTCTTGGCCAAGCAGGAACTATTGATGAAGATCGTCGACTATTTGACATGAGTAATTTTCTATCTATTCAATTGGGATTTCTATTTTTAATTACAATTGATAAAGCAAAATAATTATGTTGCTAGTTCTTTTAAGTGATTCTCCTCGATAAGCCACTGCTCTCAAATATGTATTGTTATTAGGAATAGTGTCGAGTTCGTGGTGGTAATACCACCTGAGCCTCAACTACCGGTCTAGGTTTCTATTCCCACTGGCGCATTCAAAGATCACTAACTGTTTCTAAAAATGGGTAGGGGCCTTTATTATCCATTGATCTACCCAAAAAAAGTTACCTTTTATTGAAAGGTAAAGAATAAAAATTAAAACAACTTCACGAGTTGCTGAGATTTATATTTGCTTTTATTTATAAATGGATGATTAATGCATAGGAATTCATTCAATTCTCTGTCATTCCACAAGAAAGGCTCATTGGAGTTGCTAAATCATCTACGCCAAATGCACAAAAAATAGGAGCATCATAACCAAATGTATCTACTCCATTGCTTTCAGTGCAAATAAAATCCCAGTTCACTCTCATGCATTACTCCAAAAGATAAATCTGATGAGAAGAACAAGGAAAAGTGCATAATTAAGTACTCAAGCAAAGCACACTTATAGTCTTAAATAATTGAAGTCTCAAATACACAAAAATCATAATTGCTTGCACATTTGAAATAAATAGTTATCAAAGATTTAGAAATAATTATATTTGTAGAAAACTCAAGTTTTCATGAGAAGCCATGAGTTTGTTTCCCAAGCTTGATTGCTCATAAACTTGGATAAGCATAAATCATGGAGGTCAATGTCATTGTTTCATGATGGAGCATCTTCTTGAAGACATGATGAGCTTCATTCTAAGATACCCTAACATTAGAGAAGTCCTCGACACTTTCTCAAGCTTTTATGAAGTTGAAGGTTCTCTAAGTTCTTGCACTTTGAATACATTGCATAGTGATTGTGCCATTTTTGATACTGGTTAAATTTGACACCTTGTTTATGTAGATAGAGAGTATGTCTATTTCCTGAGTTGCAAAGGTCCCCTATTTGCATGAGCATTAAGGGCACTGGTGCAAACTGAATTCTTAGCACCATGCTTGATAAAAGAAGCTCAAGTAACAGTTCAATAGCTTCTTTGTAATGCCTAAAATGAATTTATTTATTGGAAAATTGTTTCATGCAGGCTGGACCGCAATTCTATATATGTGGTCTAGAAGTATAAAGCATCCATCTTAAAGATGGATGCAAATATGTTGTCCATCTAAAAACAATTGAAACTAATGGTCCAAATGTTTTCTTAGAAATATTATTTCTAGTTTTTAAAATGTATTTATTTTTTCATATTCATGACATGTTAGAGATTACATATCCTTAAAAATTAAGTCCAAAAATCTATCTCAAAAATAAAAGTATTAATGGGCCCGCATTTCTACATGTACGGGCTTGACCTGCATGCGAATCGCGTCCTTATTTATTACAAATGAGTCATGGTACTTTGTCATTAAAAAAGGTATTATTGATATTTTTATTAAATTATAAGAGTAATTTATTAAATGAAACTCTAGTTATAAATGTCTTTATCTTTTAGTAAATATTTAAAAAATGCCTTCTCAAAATGATAAACATGCCCTTTCTCTTTAAGTAAAAATATCACCAGTACCCTTCCTAATAATAGAAATGCCTTTATTTATT